TTTTATAAAAAATTACTTTTTGTCATATTTGCTGTAACTTTCACTGTATCCTGACAGTAGTATATGAGATAGATAATCTGTGGAAAAAATCTGGTTCCTCTGGCTCCTCCTAGTGCTCATAATGGTATTTGCTTTCTTGGCTCTGATTGGTTGTTTTTGTTCAGGCCCGGTGGATTCTTGCAAATGCCATTAGAAGCACGAGGAGGAGCCAGAGGAACCTGATTTCACAGATTATCTCTCTCATGTACCACTGTCAGGATATAGTTAACGTTGAAGCAAGCTTTAATGGATAGTGTGTAACGCACATTGGCCACGCCACGTAGCTTTGTATCAATTGACATATGTAGCACACACAAAACACAGTTTTACACTTCCATGTTCTTCTCCTAGCAGGTTGATCAGATCCAGCTGAAATTTGGTCAGAAAATGCAAACCATATTGTTGACATGTGATGAATGTGGTGAGTTGTTGATGAAGGGCGTGTCTGTGGGGTTGCATCAAACGTGGACGCACATGAATTTGCTGTAACTTGAGTGTACATCGTCCAATCAGCACCAAAGTGTCTGAGTCCCGCCCTGAACACATCTATGTGACAATATTCAGGAAGAATGGTAGCGCCATCTAGTGCCGTAAGGAAATTTTTATACTTTTATGTATTTTTCCCAGCATCTTATGAATCTAAAGAATTCTTGCTGAACCACGTTGCCATAGCAACGGGGCAAAAATCACATATGACCGACATGTTTTTCGCCTTGTATTTGAACGAACTCCTCCTAGGGAATTTATCAGATCTACTTCAAAATTGGTCAGTACAGTCAAAAAAAAACTGCTGATTAAAAATTGTGCTATTTGTGACTGCACGTCGAACAGCTTGTCCGTGGCATGTCGTCAAAGTCGGCCACTCGATCGAATGTCAAACTGTGTCGCATTTCCAACAATTTCAGGGCTTCTATTTTAANNNNATCAGAACAACTTCAGAATTGGTGGATAAAATCCAGAGAAGTTCAGGATTTTACGTTATTAAAATTTGTACATTTGGTTAAACGGTGTGTCCGTGGCATGCCTTCAAAAATCAGCCTTGACATGACAATGGAAACACTACTGCTAAACCTAACTGCAGTACAGATTCTGGGAAGAGCCCTGGCCTAAACGCGGCTGAGTGCCAATTTTCATGTCGCGGTTGCGTGGAGTGCAAGGGTCCGATCATCACTGCTTGCAGTTTTAATTTAGTTTGACGGTATGTGACTGAAAATCAACTTCGCCCCTCTGAAACAGCAGTTGCCAGTGCCCAGCCAATCAGAGTCAGAGTGGACACTGCTGCAAAGTACTAGGGTCCAGAGGTGGGTAGTAACGAATTACATTTACTCTGTTACATTTAC